AGCTGAGCGGACCAGACCAATCCCAAGTGCCCCCGTACCCATTAGGAGAAATTACCCTATCATGTAAAAACAAGTTTAAAGTTCTTTCCCCTCCCTCTGTAATGATGTATAAAAACTGCTTGCCATGCTGGATCTGGGTCTCGTCCCTGAAGCTGCTGCTTCGGGCGTGAGCCCAGACTCGAGCCTGAATAAAGACCCTTGTGTGTTTGCATCAGAGCTGGCTCTTTGTTGGTCTCTCGGATTCTGAAATTTGGGTTTAACACTAATATTTAAAGTTACAGGACTCAATGAATCACCAAGAAAGGTCAGGGAGCGAAAATAATACTGGGCCTGGGACACTCCCACATTTAGATCTTGGAAAAGGAGACCTCTCAGCAAAGAGCAGCCAATGGGGATGGAAGAAAACCAGAACGTAATATTCCAAAAGGCCAATGGAAAAAAATCAGTTTCAAGAAAAAAGTACAATTGTTTATGTCAAGTGCTGCTAAGCAGTCAAAAAAAATGAGGCCTGAGAATGATAATCACATTTGGTAACATGGAAGTCATGGGAGACTTTTAAGAGACTGGATTCATTGAAATGTGGTTTCAGGGCCAAGATGACAAGGGTATAAGATCTGTTAAGACCTCAAAAATATTTCAGGTGGAGCCTCATGCACCCACTATATTTTATGACTCTTAGGCGGCACCTTTGGCCCTCTCTACTAGATGGGGGCACTTCTAAAATTCTTTTTTTTGAGTTGGAGTCTCACTCTGTCACCCAGACTGGAGTGCAGTGGCCGCTTCCAGCCACCGCATCCTCGACCTGCTGAGCTCCGGCGATCCTTCCGCCTCAGCCTTCCAAGTAGCTGAAACTACAGGCGCACGTTACCATGTCCAGCTAATTTTTTGATTTTTTATTGTAGAGATGAGGTCTCACCAAGTTGCCCAGGCGGGTCTTGAACCCTCGGGCTCAGGCAATCCAATCACCTCAGCCTCCCAAGGTGCGGGATTACAGGCTGAGCCACTGAGCCCGGCTACTTCTAAAATTCTTAAGGGTGTTTTGCCATAGTACTGACTCTCAGTCCAAAGAAATAGGGACTTTTCTTGAAGATATTTAAAGATGTCACATTTGAATAATTAAGATCTTATTTTGATACATGGGAAGTTCACAAAATCTTTAAGAGTATCACAGGGAAAGTTTAAAAATGAAAAGACACATTTGTTGAATTTTAGCACTTCACTGAAAGAAAAAAAAAGGAAAAGATATATCTGAACCCTAAATTCCTACAGATAAGACACTGGCTACAAAACTATGCAGTTACAAACAGAAGCTCTTTCTTATGGAAAAAGAGCAATCACTCAGAGAGTACAGCCAAGACCTGAGGACAAGGCCAAGAACTTCAAAATTATGATGGTCCACTGACTACCACATGCCTCCTGTTTTCCTTCCTTCCACCTTTTGAAATGTAAGTGCCTCTTCCTGTTTTCCTGTTCCTTACTCATTATTGTATGTAGGGGCCAGATAACCCGACTCTCCAATTCACAGGTTTTAAGACTGAGGAACTATATCCAGGGAATGTCACCACATGGACCTGATTAGGATGATACAATCCTGTACTTCATGTCTGAGCCTGATACAGTCATAGTATGAGATTGAAGATCTTGGGAGGGAAGTATGTATATTTTGCATGTGGAAGGAACATGAATTACCTGGAGCTGAGATTAATCTCCAAATATGGTCCCCAATGAACATCATCTTTCAAGACTCATATTGAACCCTCTCCTATCAAATCAGGACTGAGCCTGGGACTTGCTGTAACTCACAGAATGCTGCGGAAGTGACTGTGCTAGTCTCAGTGTTAAGTCTTATGAGAACCTAAAGCTTCTGTTTTTGTACTTTGGAAGCCCTGAGTTGTCACATAAAAAATTCAGCTGCCCTATTAGAGAGACCACATGAAGAAGTCACATGGAGAAGGAGAGGGATAATTCCTAAGATTACATGAAAAGACAGAGATATACATATATAGATACAGATATATAAGAGAGAGAGAAACAGACACATCAAACCACATATCCTTGCATCCCAGCTGAGCCTAGCATTAATAGCGGTTCCCATTAGTGTCATATACATAAGTAAGCCACCATGAGTGTTCCTAGACGACTATAAGTCTATCCAACATCCAACATCAAGTGGAACAGAACTGCCCAGCTAAGCACAGTCAACCTCACAGAACCCTGAGAGATAATAACATGGTTTTCTTAAGCCACTAAGTTTTAGAATGGTTTGTGATATACAATAAATAACTCACTTATTAAATGGAAACTGAGTATTATGGATATTACTAATAAAACAAAGAGATTAAAAAGTAAACTGCAAATTATGTGGCTATAAAATGGTTAGTATTTTGAAAATAAAAAGAGCTCATTAAAAAACCTAAACAAAACCTCCAAGTCTTCAAAAGAAAAAAAATAGATAAAGGATATAATCTGTCTACTCAAAATAGGGAAAACAAAAATGAGAAATGAGAAAGAAACGTTCTAATCATTATTTTAAAAACTGTTAATTCTTAAATACTGTTGGTAAGAATGTGAAGTGGTTCACTCTTTCTGGAGAGCAATTTGTCAACATGTCATTTTTATGAAGACATCAGGAGATAATCATAGATCCAAATAAATAGCTAAGTAAAAGAATTTTAATTCCAAACTGAATGTCCAACAAATATGAAAATCATTTTAAAATAGTGGAATATGCACATTTGAGGATATTCTATATCTTGCACATTTTAAAGAAAATTCAAGTAGCACACTTATTATGTAATGTTAAGTCAAAAAAGCATAATATAAAATTATACATATATTTGGAGCCAAGTTTTTAAAATGCATAAAAGATATATGTATATATGCATAACAAAAACTAAAAGGAAATAAAATTGCTAAATGTGACAGTAGAATTATAACTTCTTTTTTCTTTCATGCTTCTCTTTTTCTAAATTTCCTAAAACTGGGCATAACTTTCACATTCAATACAAAAATGTTAGTCTTTTTACATTATATGGGTTAAGCTACTGACTTAAGTAATTAAGAATAATTTCCAACTAAAATCATATCTTTTGAAATTTAGAAGAGAACCTAGAAATAACTTAGTCTGATCTATCATTCAAAAGATGAGAAAAAAGATAGCAGGTGCCCAAGCTAGTTGAAGTATTTAGAGGCAGAATCTCACTTAAAACTCACATTATTTACCCTCTGACCTGGACATCTTTTTATACCACTTTAGAACTACCTGTAATAGAGATTCAAATAAGATGTAAAGATATAAGTAGAACAGTTGTTATTTTGAGGAAGTCTTTACTCTGGTGTGCCTTTAAATTTACATTCCTATTATTTTCATTTTATAACAAGGAGAGAACATATGCTATTGCCTATAAAATAAAAGTTTTATTAAAAATTCCCACTGAAATAACTTCCTAGGCTTTTGAAATGCCTTTGAATTTACATTTTGTCACTTTTGTTACACTTTCAGCTAAATTTTATACCACCAACAGAGATTTGTATTACTGGCCTCTCAAATCACTTTGTTTTTTACAAGTACGGTATGAATATTTATTATATTTAAGCACATTTCCACTTGGAGACATTTGAATACATTTTCAATTTATTTATATTTAATTTTTAAAAATAGATTATTTTGTTTTCCTATGTATAATTCTAATATGGTGGCAAGACGCCTTTGTGCAAGGTCTTCCTTTGGATCTTGCTTTTGAAAACCACTTTTTAATATTGAGTCTGGGGAAGCTAAGCATGTGCTTGTCCTTTCAGCTAAGTTTAGACAGCTGCTGTGCCAGCTAATTTCTGTTGGAGATGGCTCTAAATTTCTCCTCCTCAATCTCTTTGGACTTATACAGATATTTCTCAACTTTACCTCTGTTGGAGATGTTTTTAAAATGCTTGGATATTTATCTTTCAATTTTACTTCTGGCGGAAATAATACATACATTTTTCATTTTTCTGTCTGGCGTGTCTTCTGTCTGATATTCATCTAAAGGTGGTATTTTGCCCGCTTCTGTTTTTTCAGGCCTAGGAAGAGTGGGTAATGGAGAATTTGTGGGTGGTGGTGTGGATTCGTCACTTTTAGGAGTAACAGCAGCTGAATTATCTTGGTCTGACTGGTTCTGAGTTGGTATAGTCAAATCTTTTTTGTCATCATTATCCAGTAACTAGAAGATAAAGCAATAAGATAAGCTGTTAATTAACCATTACTAAATGGAAAATATTTAAAATTAATAAAATGACTTAAAATCAATTGTACCCTTGTCCTTCATCATAAATATTATCAAGAATATTTGCAAATTGTTACACTCCTTAATAAAAGACATAAGAATTTTCTCTACTTGCTTGAAACCATGGACTGTAGAATACAGTGGTTTATAAAGCAGTATTTGTCATATGTACAAATTTTATAAATCAGCATCTTAAAATAAAAAACTGATGGTCTGACATTTGACTGTTATTATACTATCACCAATATATCATGAAACAAGGGAAATTTTAATAGCAAATAGCACAAGGGACAATATCATAAAATCATAACGATATAATAAAATACAAATTTAATAGGAAAATAGTACAAAAATATCATAAAATAAATGATAGCCTGTCAAGCTAAATTTTGCTTTATGAAAATTTCTCTATATTGTCTTTCTTTTCCTCTCCTTGAACTGGGGAAAACAATACATATTGACTCTTCAATTGGTATTTGGGAGTCAGTGACCCAAGAATGGAAACTATTAAATTTTATTTTCAAACAGTAGAGAAGAACATTTTACTCTCTGTTGATTGACATGGGGGCCCACTGCTTTATGAAAGAAATGCCTTCTGCAAAATTAGTTGAAAAGCAAATTATATTATGTGAACTCTGTTTTTATTGATTTATATTATAGACTATATAATATTACTCCATGGGTGGAGTTTACAATATAATAAAAAGATTTTGGTGAGAGAGAGTAAAGAATGCAGTTAAGTCTATGGCATTCATTTCTAAGATCTTATGCAAAATTTCATGCTTTTTTCTTGTTTGTTTTCCTTTCTTCTCTTCCTCAATTAACCTTTTGTCCCCTATCTTTACATATTTTTTTAAATGTTTCTATTTTATACAGAAGCTTATCTTTCAAGAGTGTAACTTTACAGATATTGCCATAATAGAAATAATCATTAAACAACTGAATAATTTCTTGGGTGTTATTTTTCTTTCCATCTATAAATAGTTGTCCATTAGTAAATATTTCAGCCCTTTATAAAATAAAGACCATTAGGATTTTTCTTCCAACTTCGCTTACCTCATTTGGAGTAGTTTTAGTTTTCTTGTTTATAATAGGGACCTCTGTTAAAAAATTAGTAGATGTGTTATATTTTACATAAAAAATAAACACATTATTTATATGTATGTACACTGATAAAATATTATTACAATTTTTCTCACCAAAACCAAAGAGCAACTTAAATCAAAGCAGCTATCCAAATATAAACATTACTTAATAAAAACAGGCTGACGAATCTCAGGACAGATGAGGGAGTGGCAAATGAACAAGTATGGGGAGGAAATGAAAGCATGTATACAGTGGTAACATTTCAAATCTATAAGTACAAGGCTCAAAAACAGGTATAGATTATATTTTGTAAAAAAAAAAAAAAAAAGAAGAAGAAGAAGAAGAAATAAAACCCAGATGGTAAGTGACAGGGCTGAAACTGGAAAAACAAACTAGAATAAAGGGGTATGAAACCAGAGAAGACAGGACCATGAAAGGAAGGCTGACTGAAACATCTATAAAAATTTTCCTAGAAATATTAGGACTAGGCCAGGGCTCAAGCCTGTAATCCCAGAACTTTGGGAGGCCGAGGTTAAAGGATTATCTGAGCCCAGGGGTTCGAGACCAGCCTGGGCAACTTGGTGAGACCTCTACAATATATTGAAAAAATTAACCAGGCATGGTAACGTACACCTGCAGTTACAGCTACTTGGAAGACTGAGGCAGAAGGATTGCCTGAGCCCAGCAGGTCAGAGCTGGGGTGGCCGTGAGCATGCCACTGCACTCTAGCCTGGGTGATAGAGTGAGACTCTGACTCAAAAAGAAAAAAGAAAGAAATACAAGGACTACATAGTTAGCAAGTAGAAAAGGAAAACCTAAAAGAGACAGAAAGAAAATAAAGAATTGAGACACAAATAATGCATAATTGTAGTAAAAAAATTACTATGGTCACAACTAGCTGCATGGGTTTGGTTAGCTCTTTTTTTCTTTTAATTGTAGTAAGAACATGTAACATGAGCTCTATCCTATTAAATTTTCAAGTGTAAAGTACAGTCAACAATAGGCCCAATATTATACAGTAGGTCTCTAGAACTTCATCATCTTGCATGACTAAAACTTTATACTTGTAGAAAAGCAGTTCCCTATTTGCTTCTGATTTACGTTAATCTAAAGATGGTATTTTGCCCTCATCTGTTTTTTCCAGGCTAGGAAGAGTGGGCAATGGAATATTTGTGGGCGGAAGGAACTGGAAAGATTCCCTATTTGCCCCTTCCCCTTGCCTCAGGCAACTACCATTTGACTCTGTTTCTGTGTTTGACTATTTTATATTTTATATAAGTGATATCATGCAGCGTTTTTTTATCTGTGGCTGGCTTATTTATTGGCATAATGTCCTCAAGGCTCACCCATGTTGTCACAAATGGCAAATGTCGTTTTGAAATGCTGCATGATATTTCATTGTACGTACAAAGACATACCTCTTTTAATCGCACTTACATTTATTGTTTTTTTACGCACTGAAGGTTTGTGACCACCTTGCATTGAGCAAGTCTAGCAAGTCTATCAGTGCCATTTTTCCAACAGCATGCATTCATTTACTTCATGCCTGTGCCACATTTTGATAATTTTTAAAATATTTCAAACTTTTTCATTATTATATCTGTTATAGTGATCTGTGATCACTGATCTTTGATGTTACTATTGTAATTGTTTTGGGATGCCACAAATCCTACCCATATGAGACAGTGAACTTAATTGGTAAGTGCTCCACAGACTGGTCATTCCCCCATCTCTCTCCCTCTCCTCAGGCCTCCCTATTCCCTGAGACACAAAATATTGAAAGTAGGCCAATTAATAGCCCTACAATAGCATCTAAGTGTCCAAGTGAAAGAAGAATCACATGACTCTCACTTTAAATCAAAAGCTAGACATTTAGTTTAAGTTTAGTGAGAAAGGCATGTTGGAAGCCGAGATAAGTCAGGACACATGATCTTTTTGATGTGCTGTTAAACTCAGTTTGCTAGTATTTTGAGGATTTTTGCATTTATATTTGTGAGAAATAAAAGATACCCAAAAGAGAAACAGAAAGGAAACAAAGCATAATAATACAAAAAAACACAGATCAATGAAACACAAAGGAGGATAGCAAGAGAGTAAAAGGGGGACAAAAGAATTACAAGATAGAAACAATTAACAAAATGGCAAAATTAACTCCTTACTTGTCAACAATTAGTTAAATGTAAACAGATTAAACTACACAGTCAAAAGACATAGAGCAGTTGAACAGACATAAAAGCAAGATCCAAGTGTATTCTATGTACAAGAGGCTGACTCACTTTGGATTTAAGGACACACATAGGCTGAAAGTGAAAGGATGTAAAAAGATATTCAAGATATTCCATGCAAATGGAAACCAAAAGAGAGCAGGGATGGCTGCACTTATACCCAAAAAAGTATACTTTAAGTAAAAAAAAATTGTAAGATGATACAGAAAAAATAATTATATAATGATAAAGGAGCAATACCTCAAGAGAGTATAACAATTATAACTATATATACAACCAAACTTTGGATAAGTGAAAAAAAGTAAAAGAAAAAAAAAAGCAACCAACAGTCAGTAAGAGAAGTTATGCTCCATTCTTCCAGTGATATTGAAGAGAGAAATTGATTATCATACACCTAAAACTTGAATGCTTCAAGTGAAGTGTAAGCTAAAGAGGCAATAGCTTACTAGGCCAGCTGAGTCCCAGAGTTAGAAAATGAATATATATCAAAAGCCTGATATAGCCAGGGAAGTAGAAAAAAAGAACAAATATGACTAACTTGTGGCAAAAGCCTTACAACACTATTCCAGACCTGCAGAACCCAAGATTTTAAATATAATTTAATTTATCTATCTATCTATCTATTCAGATTAGAGAATATAGTTTATTTAGAAAGTAAATTAGAGAGAGAGAGAAAGAGGTGATTCACCTCCCCAAGGTAGGGAAGGTGTCCAAAGCTTAAGAAAACATGGCCTGGCCATAGCTCAAAGAGCACATGGCCACACCATAGTTTAGCAAGGCAATGGCTAATTATTTATTTTGAAGTACAGTATTATACTCTAACTTGCTTTCTTAGTGAATTTCTTAAAAGATAGTTTTTTAAACACTGTATGAACAATCCATTAATTAAATCTCTTAATAATTTCTGTAAGTTTTCAAATTTAATGCTAATTCAATTTCCTCTCCTTCTTCCCTGCCACACTTTCTTTCACACACACAAATATATACACACACAAACACACACACACCCTAACATAAAAGAAACTAGTAGCTCTATAATTTACAATGTTTAATGAATATCTTTTCATAGATCATAGTTAAGATTTAACTTATCCTTAAAAGAGTAATAGAGTATTTAAATTATTAATGAAGTCTAAGTCTTTTCTTTGAGAGTATTATAATATAAATAACATATAGCAAAACTGTGGTAAAATGTATATTCATTCCCTAACAAAAATAAAATCCACTTAAGTAAATGATTAATTTTCTTTTTGTGAACTAACCACTTTTGTTTGAATTATTTTAATAATAAACATAACACACCAAATTAGTTTCTTACCTAATGTTACAAAAGTTTCAAACTTTTTTTCAGATTGATCATTATTTGGGCTTTCAGGTACCTCATTCATATCAGTTTCCTACAAGCAAAAACAAACAAACAAATGAAAATGTTTAAAGAGCTAAAACATGAAAGGACAAAAAGCTGAAATAGAGTTACCTCAGCCATTGTGGGCAGACGGCTTGGTGTTGGCTCACATTTTTGTCTTGTTATAACAACCAATTAGCAGTAAGCTATAGTAGATAATGTTTTATTTTGTAATTGGCTCTGTTAACTCTCTTGCTCTGAAGTTAATCAACATCACTGTTAAGAGCCACTAATAAGTAAAACTATAATCTACCCCAGTAATGGACACCAGATTTTATAATTAACATTCTTGCTCCAACGATGGGTTTCTATGAGCTTCTAGCTATCTTGCATGACAAACTGGTCACCAAGATAAAAGAAATGGGCTGTCATGATGGCTCTAGCCCTCCTACAATTTTCCCAAGAATGTTTTTCTACCCCAGCCTTCCTGCTATCTTATCCATGAACAACACATTCCTAGCTGAATGTCTTTTTGGATCCCAAAACTCAAGGACATTCAAAGATTAACATTTATGTCTTGCAACTTTGTCTACATGGTTGACTATCTGAAACTCTGGCTGCTGCTATCCTGAGGAGATAAGTGCCATGGCAACGATAAATCCCCTCCCACTGTCACCTTTCACAGGGATGCCTTTTGTAAACCAAACAACTCTCATTACCAGGAAGGCTTATAAACCACAGCTCCTAGCTTTCAGTGCCAAATGTTCCTTAAGTGTCTGGCACCCACCCCAGTCTTGGAGAGGTCAATCCACCCTTTTTCTCTGACTTATCTTCTAACTAAACTTTTCCTTTTAACCTACTCTTTGTGCAATTCTTTGCATCTTGCCCACGGCACCGGTACACCAACCAAACAATTTTCCTCTAACTTCATAACTTCTTTTAATATAATACACTTTCCCCCCTCCCCCAAATTTACAGAAGGTAAGGAGATGGATTTGTGAGAAAAGCAATCCAAAGAGCACTATTTTAAGGACCAGCATATCCTGGATAGGAGTTGATGTTCCAAAGAAAAGATATCCAAGAATGGAAAGAGTGTTTGAATGATGAATGTATGAGAGATGCGATAATTACAAGATAAATTACATAATGTTGCTTTTTTAGGGGGCATCAGAGAATACTCCCAGGAAACAGATTATTTTTGTATTGAACTACATATTAGCCTATGACTTAAAAAGTGATATGTATCTTTATAAAATTCTAAGGAGAATTATAAAGCAAAGTGATCACTGGGCTTTTTAAAAATCCTGGTCTTTGGTTGGGGAGGGCCAAGCTGGCCAACTGGATGCAGCTGGTACACCTCTCTCATCAAGAGAGTCTGAAAAAGTGAATAAAAACTGGTTCCTCAGAGGATGGTCTGGAAGTCCATACTGAAATTCTTCAGAAAGACACTGGGGTTGCTGAGAGCAAAAGGAACCAAGCCCAGCCACCTTGGGATCCAGTCAGGGAAGGATGGGAGAGAACTTCACAGGAAGGGTTGGGGAGTAACTGGGAGTCTGGGAGTCTTCACACCCTTCCACGGACCTCTGCAGCCCTGGTCCCAGGAGAGAAACTCTAGCCCTCCTCCATCTGTGGACAAATGCAGGAAGTCACCTGGAGTCAACACAGACACAGCTTAGGTCCATGAGGAGCCAGGGGGCTCTTGTTCCCTGTGAGTTCCATGCATGCCACCATTATACCAGGCCACATTTTGCAGTTGTGGACTGTGCCACCTGGGTGTGGTGTTCCTCCTCCCTTTCTGGCCCCAAGCCAGGGCATCACTCCCACCTCTTGCCATATACAACCTGAACTCATTTGGGGAGCAGCAGCCGTGGTTGGATCCCAGGAGGCCACTGAACTAGAGAGAAGGATGATGACCCTCTACAGCTCCCACCATTACCATCTTTGTCCTTCCCATGGAGCAGGGAGGGATCTAGTGGGCAGAGCAGCTCTTCATCTCCTAGCCTGAAAGGACCAGGTGGAGGAAAGATCCTACCCAGGTAGAAGGCTGCCCTACCTTTACCTCGTCACTCTGGGGACACAAAGATGGCCAGGCTTCTCCCAGCTGCCCAACAACATGGCCCTGCCCACACACAGGTGGAGGACTCCCCAACCAGGTAGGGTTTGGCCCTCCACACTTGTGCCAAAGAAATGGCCGTGCCCAGGCGGGAAAAGGCCACTTTACCCCACCTGATCACCTTGGTGGGTGCTAAGCCATGGAGCTTCTCTTAGTCACCCATCAAAGCTGTTAATGTAGCTCTGCCCACATGTGGGTGAAGAGGGAAAGGTTGGGTTTCCCAGCCAGAGAACCTGCTGCTTGTGCTGGGGCACAAGGACAGCCTCCACCCAGGAAGAAAAAAGCCACCCCACCCCACCCCACCCCACCCTTGCCTGATCACTTTGGTGGAGCAGTGACAGCCAGGCTCCCTCAACACTGCCCTCATTGCCATGTTTGTACCCAGTTCCCATCCCATAGATGGATCAGAGAGGAAATGCACTCCTAGACAGCACCACCACCTCCACCTTGATCCCTGCCACTTATGGGTCAGGGAGGAAGTGAAGTGACAATTCACTTCTGCACGTTCACAGGTCCCACACCCAGACACACAACTCACAGCTCTCTATCAGGCAGGGCCTCCTGGCACCACATAGCTGCCTGAATATCACAACTGTGGATCAGCACTCCCCTGAGGATGCAGGCTCAAAAGATCACAGCTGGGCCCCCTCTAAATGATGCTACTGCTGCCTCTGCCCCTGCAGCCTATGGGTCAAGGAGAGAACAACTGGAACACTAAAAGCAGCCAATAGCCCATATACAACACACAGTACAAACACATCCATAAGGGGAAAAAAGCAAGAAAATATTACAAAGCCCCATTCCAATAAAAGCAACAATAAAAATGAAAGGGGGGAGTCTTCCCCCATAGATGAACACAGGAAATCCCAAAAGCCAAACCATTATAGCACTCACAAAGGATCCCACCAGCTCCCAAGCAATGACTCCCAACCAGAATGATCTGTCCCTAATGACAGATACAGAATGCTAAGTACAAATGGCAAAGAGATTCAATAACATGAAAGAGAAACAGGAGACCCAAATCAAACAGGTCATGAAAACAATCTAGGAAGTGAAAGCTGACCTGGCCATCCTAAGATAAAAGCAAACTGAACTCCTGGAAATGAAGAATTTGTTCTAGGAATTTCAAGACACAAATCACAAGCCTTAATAGTAGACTCAACCAAGAAAAAGAAAGAATTTCAGTTCTTGAAGACTGATACATTGAATTAACTCAGTCATTTCAAATGACACCCCAGGCTCAAGGTAAAACGACAAAGAAAGACCTTTCACACTTATAGAAAATAAAAAAGGGCAGGAGTCACTATTCTTATGTTGGATAAAACAGACTTTAAGTCAATAAAAGTAAAAAAGAACAATAAAGAACACTACATAATGATAAAGGACTCCATTCATTAGCAATAAATACCCATCTTGAATGTATATGCACCCAACATAGGAGCACCTAGATTTAGAAAACAATTGCTAATTAACCTAAGAGAGGACATAGACAACTATACAATAATAGTGGGGGGCTTCGTGCCCCACTAACAGCTTTAGACAGATTATTGAGGCAGAAAACTAACAAAGAAATCTGGGACTTAAATTTGACACTTAACAAATTAGATCTAGTAGACATCTACAGAATATGCCACCCCAAAATGACAGAATATACATTCTTATCTACACATGAAACATACTCTAAAATCAACCACACAGTCATACATCAAGCCTGAATAAATTCCAAAAAGTCAAAATCATACTAAGCATCTTCTTGGACCACAGTGGAATAAAAATAAATATCAACACCAAGAGGAACCCTCAAAAACACACAAATTATATATAAATTAAATAACATGCTCCTGAGTGATTTATGGGCAAACACTGAAATGAAGACAGAAATAAAAAGATTCTCAAACACATATACAAATAAAGATATAACATACCAAAACCTCCATGAAAATAGTGCTGGGAGTGAAGTTTATAACCTTACATGCCAACATCAAGAAAATAGAGAAATCTCAAGTAAGCAGTCTAATGCCACACCTAAGGGAACTGTAAAATGAGAGCTAAACTGAACCCAAAGCTGGAAGAAGAAAAGAAAAACCCAAAGTCAGCATAAAACTAAATTGAGACATACACACACACACACACACACACACACACACACACACACAAAGGGTCAATGAGTTGAAGAGCAGTTTCTTTGAAAGGATAAATAAGAGTGACAGACCCCTGTCCAGATTAACAAAGAGAGAGAGAGAAAGAGAATCCAAACGAATACATTTAGAAACAAAAGAGGCAATACTACAACCAATCTTAAAGAAATACAAGACTGTCAGAGATTATTATGCACACGTGTATGTATATAAGCTAGAAAATCTAGAGGAATGGATAGATCCCTGGAAACACACAACCTCCTAAGACTGAAAAAGAAAGAAACTGAAACCCTGAATTCAATACCAATAATATGACAAGAAATTGATTCAGAAACAAACAAAAAACCAATCTACCTACACTAAAAAAAAAAATAAGCCAAAGCCAGCTGATTTCACAGCTGAATTCTACCAGGCATTTAAGAAAGAGCTGATACCACTCCTACTGAAAGTATTCCAAGCTATAAGAAGGAAGGATTCCTTCTTAACTCATTCTTATAGAATGAGCCAATATCATCCTGATACTCAAAAATGGCAAAGACACAACAAAGAAAGAAAACTACAGGTCAAATTCCTCATGAACAGAAATGCAAAAATCCTCAACCAAGTACTATCAAACCACATCCAATAGCATATTATAATGATCACTCATAATGACCAGGTAGGGTTCATTCCCAGATGCAAGGCTGGTTCAATGGATGCAAATCAACAAATATAATCTACCACATATATAGAAGTAAAAGGAAGAACCACATGATTGTCTCAATAAATTCAGAAAAGGCACTGGAAAAAATCCAATACCCT